GACGGGCGGGGAGGAATCCACCTTCAGACATGTTCGCGTCGTGCAAAAAGCACGACGGGAGGTTTGCCGTTTTCGGTCTCCGGGGGCTTGCAGAGCCCCGGGACTGCCAACAGAAACGTCTCGGGATGACAAGTTGGTCTTGGGGAAAGGGTCGCGACCCTTGGGGACCCCGTTCAATTTTTGCTTTACAAACAAAAAAAGAGATCTGGACGTGTGTCTCCCCCCCCCTCGTCTTTCCCTCCCCTGTCCTCCACCTCCTCCCAGCCTCTCGCCTCCTCCCACCTCCCACCTCCTCGTCCTCCTCCTCCTCCTGCTCCTCCTCCGCCTCCTTGATCATTACAATGCTGCAGTCGAGAGAGTGTTCATGCATTGGCGCCCCACGGTCATGCTCATGCTCACTATCTTTCTCGGTGACTCGGTGACGCAGACTCATGCTCCTCCTCCTCCTCCTCCTCCTCCTCCTCCTCCTCCTCCTCCTCCTCCTCCTCTCTCCTCTTCCTCCTCCTCATCCTCCGCCTCCTCATCATCATCATCCCTTCCCCTTCCCTTCCTCCTCCCTCCTCCTCCTCCTCCTCCTCCTCCCTCCTCCTCCTCCTCCTCCTCCTCCTCCCCCCCCTCCTCCTCCTCCTCCTCCTCATCATCATCATCATCATCGTCATCATCATCATCATCATCATCATCATCATCATCATCATCATCATCATTTCATTCTTCTTTATGGGTATAACTGTAACTAACACACTGCCACCTAGCCGGCCGATAAAGGCCACATCTGAGGGGTCCCATCCGAATTGTCAAGACCACTACAACATCAGCATGAGTAGTGCCATCATAAACATGATGTTGTCCATGTTGCAACAAGGCGTGGCAGGAATGGGACGCGGCGCACATACCGCGCGAAAGTCCGAAATGTCGCTCTCGCCTCGGCGCCGCGCTCATCTGTCCCCAAGCAGTGCTCGCACTTGGTACATCTGGACGAAGCACCTCGGCGCGGGGATCGGTCTGACAGCTATGTAGTCGCCGTCGCCACCGGTCGCCTGGGCCTGGGGGTCGATCTGGCGGTCCCGTCGCCGCCTCGTCGTCGCCTGTCGTCTGGGCCTGCGGGTCGGTCTGGCGGCTATGTGATCGTTGTCGCCGCCTCGTCGCCGCCCAACGTCTGGGCCTGCGGGTCGGTATGGCGGCTATGTCTTAGCCGTCGCCGCCTCGTCGCCGCATACATATACACACAACAGGTTTCATTGCACAGATTGACCCACATAGATTCCGTTCTGATCTACCACCCACCCACCTATGACTATCAGCCTGCCTTTCCGCATTGTAATATGCATAGGATTATGCCCCATCGTACATTCTAGCTACGAAGTCGTATCATCCCAGCCGGATCAGTCTCGAACCCCCCGCCGCCCGTAGTAAAAAACATTATGCGCGCACATTCGTCTCTCAAGAATCGTCCGTGTTCAAGAACCCTTTTTGCAACAAAATACCCTGGCGACGTACCCAACCCCTGCGCAATGCGGGGCAGGAGTAGCTTGGGAGATTTGACGAGAAGGCGGCGACGTGACATGGACGCATATACTTCTGCGAGCGGCATTCGGAAGGTTCGCAGGTTCCCAATCAAGGGAAAAGCGATGAGTGATTAAGTAAAACCTTGAGTCATTAAAGAAGGTGGGCAAAGGACTTGAAACGTCGGCGGGGCAGCAACAACATGACATGGCCCCCAAGGAACTGCGAGGTCCAGCTCAGGTCTGCGCAGTGCCTCGTTCCGCTGGACCCACCAGCAGCCCTCGAAAGTGGCGACAATTTCGAGGATCACAGCACCCCAGGGACGTGGAGGTCTCGCTCAGATCCGCGCGGTGCCTCACTCCGCTGGACCCACCAGCAGCCCTCGAAAGCGGCGACAGTTTCGCAGATCGCAGCCCCCCAGGGACGGGGAGGTCTCGCTCAGATCCGCGCTGTTCCCAACTTCGCTGGACCCACCAGCAGCCTTCGAAAGCGGCGACAATTTCGCAGATCGCAGCCCCCCAGGGACGGGGAGGTCTCGCTCAGATCCGCGCGGTGCCTCGCTCCGCTGGGCCCACCAGCAGTCCTCGAAAGCGGCGACAATTTCGCAGATCGCAGCCCCCGCAGGGACGGGGAGGTCTCGCTCAGATCCGCGCGGTGCTTCACTCCGCTGGACCCTCCAGCAGCCATCGAAAGCGTCGACAGTTTCGCAGATCGCCGCCCCCCAGGCAAGGCAAGAGGAGACAAAAAGGAGGGGTGGCGGGAGGCAGGAGGCGGGAGGCGGGAGGAGGAGGAGGAGGACGCGACCGCAGTGCCCTATTCATAACGAATACCTAACCAAGGAGGGCTGGGGAAAAACGAAATGCAGACGCACGCGTCGTCGCGCGCGCATCCCGACGAGCGCCCCGAAAGCGTTTCTCTGTGCTTATATATATATATATATACATACATACATATGCATACATATATATATAAATATATGTATATATATATATGTGTCGATAAATATAGATGTACATATATATACACATATAATGAGCAAAAACTGATTTGCAACATCTGTTCTCGAGAACAGGTCTGCTCACGCGCCCTTCCGATTAGGCTGTCCAACCTTATTCATCAAATTTGAACGCCCTTGCGCGCGTGCTTGGGAGGGCACGTTCACTGTCAAATAGAACCATGCGAGCCACTCGCGCGCGTCGGCCGCGCGCGCGTGTCGAAACCTCCCCAGAGTTTTCAGCGCCGACGCGAGGACACCGTCATCGTCATTGGCGTGATAAGCATCGGCGCCGCTATTGGCCTCGCCGTCGTCATCGTCAGCATCGTCACCATCACCGCTACCATCATAATCGTGTCTACCAGCGCCGACGTCGCCGTGACACCGCGCCCGCCCAAGTGACCGACTCGCAATGACATGCCCGCGCGTCAGAGGGGGGCGAGACGCGCTGGGATTGCCCAGCGGGCAGCGCCACTGCGGTCGCGTCGGTCACGCCCAACTAGCTGGCCGCTGCGCGCGCGAGCATGCGCGGACGAACGCGGCCGCAGAGGTGCATCAGCCATCACCGAGCACTCATCGCAATCGCCGTCGCACGGGTTTTGCAAACCTAGTTGCGGGCGGGGTGGGCGGGTGGGATGACTACGCAAGCAGTGGAGTTGACAATTCAAGTCTTTCCAAATTAATCCCCCTCTCTGAAAGAACTTCAGGATCTACCACCCATCCACCCCCCACCCACCCGGAAGTAACGGCCCCCTTTTTTCCCTTTGTAAGTTGCACACTATTCTGCCCCACCGCCCAGTCTAAAATTCGCACCATCCCAGGCAGTCTGGCATCCGCCTCCCCCCTGTTTCCCATCTCCCGCTGGAAAAATTATGCGTGCAAATTCGCTTATCAAAAATAATCGGTTTTCGCAAAGTTGCTGCGAGAGAAAAGGATAACAAAAAAAAAAAAAAAAAAAAAAAACGCATACGCGCGCGCCGTGCCGCGCGCGCATGCCGAAATATGTCGAAAACTCTGGGTTTCGTAATGGTGGCAAAATCGAGTGCCACGAATATATGTGTATATATATGTATACATACATACATACATACATACATACATACATGCGTGCATGCATGCATACATACATAAACATATATATATATATATCGCAACGAGGACCTTCGAACAAAAAAAAAAACTTCGCGCTCCGACAGATTCTCAAGAAAACCGCTGGCTTGTCAACAGGTTCATAAAATGCGCATGTCGAAATCGTTCGAACGCGCTTGCGCGCGTGCTGTCGCAAGAACCTTTTTGCAAAAAACGGGGCGAAGTGCACGCGCGCGCGTCGTCGCGCGCGCGAGCCAAAATCTTTCAAAAACCGTGGGGTTAGCAAGGAATTAAAAATCGAGCGCCCTCAAAACAGATATGCATATATACATAAACGTGTATATATACATATATACACATACATATACATATATGTACACTCAAGAAAAATAGTTGTGCAACACCAATTTTCAAAAATAAGGGCCCGCGCACGCGCTCTTGCAGATGTTTAAGAAAACCATCGTTTTTCAACAATGTCATTCAGTTCTGCCACCCGAGCCTCTCCCGCCGCATGTCGAGTTCATTCAAACGCCCTTGCGCGCGTACCGGGTGGGGCGGGGCACGAGCCGCGTCAAATAACACCACGCCGGCCAATCGCGCGCGCCGGTCGCACGCGCATGTCGAACTCTTCCCAAAAACTAGATCACCGACGCGATGACATCGTCATCGTCATCGGCGGGCGTGGTCAACATCGGCGCCGTCATTATGACGTATCCCCCTTACACGACACAGATCACATCAAGTAACCCACGCAGCATAGCTTACACACCACAAGTTGCACGGCGTAGCCTGCACAGCATGGCTTGCAACACCTAGCTCACACCACAAGCCTTACAAAAACAACACAGCTTACAAAACATAGCTTACAATAGATGATCCACCTTCACAGTGCTATAATCCACTGTTTTGGGGTACACCCTGGCGAACGTTGATTCTTATGTTGTGGCAGAGAGGGTAGGGACAGGCGGGGTCCTCTGACTCGCTCGACCTGGCTGAATTGACTCCTACTCATCATGTTCCTCCTCGTTCGCTTGCCCTCTCCATCTCCTTGCCCCCTCCTCCTGCTCCTCGTCATTCCCGTTTTCTTCCTCATCCTCATCATCCTGCCTCGTCCTCCTCTTCCTCCTGCTTGTACTCTGAATCCTCCTCTTCCTCCTCCTCCTCCTCGCTCCCTTCCCCGTCTCCGTATTATCCCTTCTCCCTCCTCCTCGTTCTCTTCCCGCTCCGCCCTCTTTCCCGATAATTTTCTTCCGCCTCCTCTTCCTCGTCCTACATCTCCTCCTTCTAATCCGTCTTCTCCTCATCATCCTCCTCGTCTTCTCATTATCATTATATCTCCCCCTCCCGTCTTTCGCTTCATCGTCCTCCGCTTCATCGCTTCATCCTCTCTCACCAGCATCCCTCTCCTACGATC